GAACGGTTAGGCAGCAGTCGAAGTCGTGGGTCCGTGTGTCATTCACCTTGAAGTAATAGAAAAAAGAATTAGTTGAAGCAAGCCAAGGCCACATCATTACTTGTATTCTATATCTGCTTTCTTAATGCAATTGGCCTTTTACTTCTGAAATAGTCAAGTTCTCAAAATATTGTTTGCATAGAATGATCCTGAAAGGTAGGAAGACTTCAGTGTAGATAGTACTCTAATTTCTTAAATAGTTTCTAAATCCACGCTGGGCAATTTACAAAATATAACTGAAGTTTTAGAACTATTTTCTTCCATATCATTGAGGAAAATATTCTAAACAATAAAGAACTGGGTACATTTTAGAAATAATAAAAGTACCTTTTTATATTTTGCTTTTATCATTATTGGTCTTCTGTATTTCCATTTATTGTCATTTACTTTTCTAAAATAATCTCTTTTTTTTGGCATGGTTTTCATTGAAAACTTTTTTTCGCTCTTTAGAACAAAATCAGACATGATAAAGGTTGACATGCAACTGATGAAATAGTAAAGAAAAAAAATAGGGTAGTGACCGTTACTCATACATACTTGTAAGATTCTGTCAAAGGGCTGTAGCATCCCAGATCTATCAGCAGGACCTCCTTTTCGGATCCTGTTAATATACACACCCTTTTCGTATAGACCATCAGACACACTAAATCCAAAGTCTTCATATACACGGTCTTTCATAAGGTTCACTTGGTAAACATGCCCACCACCTGCTGTGATTAAAACATATGGTTACTATTATAATTTAATCAAATCAATGCAAATGTGTTTAAAAATATATGTAAATATACAGGCAGTTAAGACAAGGAAAAACAGTAAATTTACATCATATAATACACAATAAACATTCTTAAGAGACAGTAATATTAGTAAAGGTTTCCAGAAGACAAAATAAATTACAGTAGTTAAATTACAAGAAATTATAAGTTGGAATGATATTATATCTATGTGGGTAGAAGAAGGTAACCAGGTGTTCATGATATCCATATGTTTTGTGAAATATATGTAATTAATCAATTACTGAAAGACATACATATGAGTATGTACAACTTAGTGAAACATGAATATTAATTTTTTAAAAAGGTACAGGTTAAAAAATAAGAAAAGTTCAGATACACTATAACTTAAGCCACAAAAAAGAACATTTTAAAACTTACGTGGTGGTGAAGCTGTTCTTGAATATGTTGCTGTGTATGTTAAAGCAGCATTGCTAATGGAATAGCTTCCTTCTTCTTTTGGTTCACTCCCATTACTACTTGCACTCGTCACTGGACAGGCTGGACGTCTGCGAGTTGACAGAGTTTGGGTTCGAGATGGTTCAGGTGCCGACCCTACATCAGGCATGGGAGCTTCACTGCCAGCCCGTACATCTTTTTTGCGTTGGATTACTGTACCTGAAGGCAAAAAAACATTCAGTGTATTACATATAGGATATACACACAGGTAATGGAAAAATGAATGCATGTTATTCCTGTGACAATGAATAAATAAAGAATTAAAACTGTGTTCAAAATGTAGCAAAAAGGAAAGGATCAACTGAACAACTCTGAATATTATCTACCTACATACAAAAAATTATTTAACTTTTTTATTACTATATATCTATGAATACCTTCTAATTTTCAAAATCATCCAACAGCTACGGAAATTCAATCAAGTTTATTCACTACTTATAAGATATAAAAAATAGCAAATTTTGAATACTGCTTTCATACCAGTACCATGATACCATATCAACCTTGAACTTAAAAGAAAAGAAAAGAAAAGAAAAGAAAGAAAGAAAAAAAAACAGTAGGTTCACCTGTATGTCCATGTGGTAGGAGTATTGTAGGAGACTGACGATGATCTCGAAGACCGCAACTCTCACTTATCTGGTTGAGGTCAGCAATCATCTTGTCCCAATCCGTTTTATCTTCTGGTGGGCCATAAATAACATGCCTTAAGCCTTACAAACTCTACATTCTATTCACACCCCAGACAGAGGGGATGTTTCTAATAATTGAAATATAAGGGTTTAATATTTCATGAGTATTACAATGATAAAATCTTTGCAAAGGTGGATATGATTTATGCCTTTGCAGTGATATTACCAAAGATAATACTCAGCATATTCTCATGCATTCCGAGGACTTATTACAAAACTGGCATAGAAGCTTCATATTTTACACACTACAAAAGGTCTTAAAATCATATTAAGCAGATTGTAAAATATTAAAATGATAGAGAAAAGTTTCTGCAAAAGAAAAAAAGAATCTATCATATATTAAAACGACAAATCATGGCAAAATCTAGATCACAGAATCATAGGACGAAAAAAAGTTTTATATGTTTATGCATTCAACTATACCAACACAAGCACAAGCTGCACATGAATATACTGCAAAGGGTTAAATAAGCATTTAAAAGCATTAACATATACTAATAATTGTCTTCTGTCATCTGTAACTATATATACCGAACATCTGCAACAACAATGAACCTGAATTGCAAGAAACCCTTAACAATTTATTAAAGATGAATGAAGACAATATCCAGAAGCCATACCACTGGTAACCTGCATAAATATTCATATGATCAATTTGCATACCTGACTGCCCACTATCAATTGACGGTGGGGGAGAAGGAGACCGCCAAGCATCTCTGACTTCTTCCTCTGTTCTTGTTGATCCCTCTACACCATCTGCATCACTTGCATTGCTATTGCCAACTTCTTCACGGCCATCGACTCCAGCTCTTCGTCTGACAGTACTGCCACAATCTGGAAAGAAAGTATGTGTAAAATGTTTTACAACAGGCCTAATTCATACTGTGTATTAGTATATGGTATGTGATAAATTATGCAATAAAAGACTGATCTTTACCTTAATCTTATTAAAAAATTAATTTCAATGCTGAAATTCTTTAAATGAAGAAATACAATTTAAATGTACCATATGAAAGAAATTTGATTCCTTATCAAAGACATGATTTTTCTACACGAATATCTCTCCACAAAATAAAATAATACATCCACAAAGGCAGAAGCAAGGGAGGAGAACACAAGCACAAAACATCCTGCCTCTACTTTTGCAAGACATTCATAAACAAGCCAGATCCCTACCTGATCTAAAGACAATATCAGATCCAGAATCCCTTTTAGATAATGCTGGAGTAGAGCCAGGAGGAGGAGGGTCCATGCCAGAACTGTCCCAGGACTCTACTGCCGAGTCCACAGATGGGATTGCAGGACCAAAGCGTCCCATCCAGTCTTCTCGTGTCAGCTCTTCACTTGGAACACCTATGCATGGTTTGGTGTTAGGAGGCAGTTAATTGACAACCTTTATGAATATTTTCCGCCTTATTATTAAGAATGAGTCATTTTAACTTATGCGTTAAAACAGAATATAATGAGGAGTTTAATTCATTTTGATTTAGATATATGCTGGTAAGTAATTGTTAATAAGGTTCCAAAAAATGATCACAGCACAAATAAACATTTTTTTCTTTATAAAGGGAAAGCATCAACTTAGAAATAAATACCTGAATCCCTAGGCCGTGAAATCTTCAATGTGACTGTATCACCAGAATTCTGGAGCATCAATATAGCTTCACTGAGAGGCTTCCCGCGTAGAGAGGCACCATTAATTGCAAGAAGGCGATCACCTACGTGTATGGCACCAGTGCGGTCTGCTAACCCACCTGTAGAAATATATGATGGTCATGAACAAACTGATGATAAGAAATATAAATATACCTAATTTTTTTTCAGAAAATAATTATTAATAAAAGTAAAACACTCAAAGTCTGTTGGGAAAGTATTATGTGTTTTTTATTATTCCTTTGTAATAATCATCAATATGATATCAACATCTTATCAATGAAGCCAACATAATAAATACACTGGAATATTTCAACACAAAAGAATGTGAGAATATCCTCATAAGAAAAGGAGACTCATACCTGGAGCAAGACCCGCAATGTAAATGGGATCAAACGGCTCTTCGCTTCCCGAGATGGTTATCCCAAGGGCGCCCCCGTGTCGGACCAGCTCTACTGTGTATACCACCAGACTACCGCTCTCTTCTGTGTAAGGTGTACAGTTTCTATAAGATCTGAACACTGTATTGCTAATCTACTGATATATAAACTTACACAGGATTACAAATATATAATTCTTTAAACAAAATATTGCTAAGACATGCATACATACATACATACATACATACATACATACATACATACATACATACATACATACATACATACATACATACATACATACATACATACATACATACATACATACATACATACATACATACATACATACATACATACATACATACATACATACATACATACATACATACATACATACATACATACATACATACATACATACATACATACATACATACATACATACATACATACATACATACATACATACATACATACATACATACATACATACATACATACATACATACATACATACATACATACATACATACATACATACATACATACATACATACATACATACATACATACATACATACATACATACATACATACATACATACATACATACATACATACATACATACATACATACATACATACATACATACATACATACATACATACATACATACATACATACATACATACATACATACATACATACATACATACATACATACATACATACATACATACATACATACATACATACATACATACATACATACATACATACATACATACATACATACATACATACATACATACATACATACATACATACATACATACATACATACATACATACATACATACATACATACATACATACATACATACATACATACATACATACATACATACATACATACATACATACATACATACATACATACATACATACATACATACATACATACATACATACATACATACATACATACATACATACATACATA